AGATGAAATATTCATAAAAATTCAGTGAAAATAGTTTCAGGCCTGATTTTAATTTCAGGCCATTGAAAATTTTTCGAGAGATTTGCAAAATTCCGAAAATTTCCCAAGTAATTTCAAAATTTTTTCAAAAAAAAAATGGTTTGCAGTGGCATTTGGTTAGCTGTATTCGTGCTGGTGTTTCTTTCCGTAATTGCATCCGTAATGTTGCTGGTCGGTGTGAATCTATCGTCGTTCGTATGTCAACCGCTGGAGGATCCTCTTTCCAGACCTGATATCATCTCGGTTGGTGCCACGCAATTTCAGTTCTGCCTCAAAATTACGCCAACCAAAGCCTGAATTTAATTTCAGTTCATTCAAAATCAGAAATCAGTTAAGATCAAATTTCAGTTAGGTGATCGTATTGTGAATCTATGGAAAACCGAACGTATTGAGCATGATCTGCCTCTTCTATCGTATGGTACCTCATCTGCTAATTCGAGTCAGAGCCTCATTACTTCTATTATTGATGGATGCTCCCTGTCGCAGTCTTCAAATAACTATAATAATAATAATAATAATAATAATAATAATATAAATACCAACAAACCAGCCCAAAAAACCTTCTACGAGATATTTCAACTCGATAAAAAATACCGTCTACTAAACGTGACCGCCCGAGATTTAAATGGCTATCAAAAGCTAAATGATTTCTTCGATAATTTGGCTAATCAAATGCGAATCAACATCGAAACGCATATGAAAAATAACAATAATAACAATATAAATAATATTTTATCGAAAAACATTCAAAAATTAACCGAAATGATACGGAAAACATCGTCGATATTCGAGACGACTGGTGAAACGACACGCGAAACGGATCAAGAGAATATCATCAAATTAATTGAGAAGGTTGGTGCTTTTTTTTGTGATTCGCTCAGCACTATGATATATATTATTTTTAACATTTTTATTATTATTTTTTATTATTCTTATTGTTATTATTATTTTTTATTATTGTTATTATTGTGATTCGTTAAATTCATGTTAAAATGGTATTTCAGGTGAATAAAACGTTGGAATTGCTTGATTTTATGCCGAATACATCCGTAATTAGTGATCAATTAACGAAAGCAAATCTAAATCAAAGAGTTATACAAGCCGTTTTGAATCGTCTGCGTGTTATTGAGGTTGGTTTAAAATTAAATTTTGAATCAGAGAGCTTTACGAGGTGAATTTTTAAAATTTATTAAAATATAATTCTTTCTAAGAGGTAATTATAATATATTGTTATTAAAACTCTTTCCTGATTGTAGGTAATTGTACTAATATAGTGATATACCTGTGTTTCTGCTATAAAATCGTTAAAATTTTATCAGATTTTGATTAATTTTAAGTTAATTTAAGGTAAATTTTAAAAAATTGCTGCTTCCAAAAATTTCTCCAAAATTTTTGATGATGTTGGAACTATATTCGTGATGAGTTAGCTTTATTTAGGCTTTCATATGGCTTCGTCTGATTCAAAATATTATTTTTATCGTTGTTCTGTATTAATTTTGGTTCATATTATTTGATTTTTAAAATTATTATTGTTATTATTATTATTATTATTATAAAATTATTATTATAAAATTATTATTATAAAGTTATTATTATTATTATCATTATTATTATTATTATTTTTCAGTTGAATTCGTCGGAACCACTCCGAAATCGTATCAAAACAATAGTTTCGAACGTCAGCACGATCAGCTCAAAACTCTCGAACCTCAGCCAACCCCTTTCGCTAATTTTGAATCGTCTCGAGGAGTCGGAATCGATGCTTCAAGCGAATTTCAATGTGTACCTTCAGAAGGTCATTAAAGAGTTCTTGATGAATCTTAAACGATCGATCACGGATTATATTGAGCATGTGCAGAGAGCTGTGAGTGTTTTGATTTATTGGTTGATTTGAGAGGGAGAGGGTATTTTTTGTGGTTTGCAGGCATAAAGTTGATTTGCATTATTTTATTCACCATCAGTTGGATTTTCGATAACTTTTATTGAGTGTTTTTTGAATTTTTGGTTGATTTTTTGCGTTTGCCTTAATTTTCATTTGGTTAGTTAGCTTTTGAAGTGGAATCAATTTAGAGTTTGAGAAAAGTTTTAAAAATGTTCGATTCTGCGGTCGATTTAGGTTTGTTGTCGAATGAATGAGTATTTTAAGGATTTAAAGATTTGACTGAAGGGTTGAGTTGATCTGATTTGATTTGAGTTGATCTGATTTGATTTGACTGAAGATTTGATTTGATCTGATTTGATTTAATTTCAGATGTCAACTGAGGTGACAAGCTGTGAGCCGATTCGGCAGGT